AAGAAACTCTTCTTGGCGCCTATTTTAGTATAAAATATACTTAAAGTAAGTGGGATATCTCTCCTCAAAACAAGAATACAATTTTTTTGGTGTAACAGCTGACATTGCGCGACTTCTTTTATTATATTGTTAATATGTGTTTTACAGCAAGAGAAATTAACCATCGATATTTGTTACATATAAGTGTATTTCTTAAAATAAATTTGATTCTCTGTTTTAGTACACCGAAAAAATTATATTCTCGTAAGTAGAAGATTTTATACTTAAAAAATTTTTTTAAAGATTTTAGATGATATTCTTCTGAAATTAAGGATATATTCTTTATTTAAGAATATATTCTTAATTTAAGAATATAGTCTTTTTCGATAGTGAGATATATATGTTTTTCTATAGAGGCTTTTTTACATTCTAATCAGTATATATTCTTATCAATATATTACTATTTAGAGGATTTTCCTCTTAAAATAAGAAACTCTTCTTGGCGTCTATTTTAGTATAAAATATACTTAAAGTAAGTAGAATATATCCTCAAAACAAGAATACAATTTTTTCGGTGTACTTTGACGCTGTTATACGTCCGAAGTTTCCTTTTTTTCTGCTAAAGTTTTAAAGTAGGGTTCAATTCTCAGATCAGGCTGCGCATTGCAGGCTCTGATAGGCTCAAAGTAGGAGTAAGAAAAAAAGTAGATGCTACTTTGACGCTGCTGTACGTCCGAAATTTGTTTTGTTTCAAAAATTGAGGTTCAATGTAGACGCTAAATTTCGACTCGGGATAACGTACAACATATTATAAGTGAATCACACAGCGATTTTTCATTCTATGCGATCGAAAAACCGAAGGAGTGCGATCCTCAGAAGGTTCATAACAAAAGTACATGATCGTCCGTATGTGGCATTCCGATTCGCCGTCACGTACATTTTTTTTTTTTTTCTTATCCACTTTTCTTCGCTGCCTTTCACGTGCCAGATTTCGCTCCTATTTCTTCTTGTCACATCTCCCCATCTCAATTCGTTTTGCTTGTCGCCTTTTCTTGCCCGAGCGCGCCGCGGCAACAATCCTCATCCGAGCGAGCACGGGCGTAGCTAAGAAAGAGATGAGCCGGGCAAACCCCCCTTCCGTCATTCAAGCCGCTCTGCTCCTCTCACGAACTGATCCCCGGCATCGACATTCCAATGGCAAAAGCACTTGCTATTTACTCCGCCACCACTTTCCTTGATCGCCCGATGCACATTTCGATCTGGTTTACAACTTTCGACGTGGCGGGCGCGAGAGGAACGAGAACTTTAAGTGGATTGCGTGCAATATATCAGAGCATACGATGACGATATATATATATATATATATATATACATATATATACACGCGCAATATAAAACAAAATCGTCTAGGATTATGGTGTATTTATTGAGCCATATCTTCCGCGAACGCGTACCAAGGCATATATACGCGACACTAGCGAGCTTTTAAAAGCGGTATCGCAACATTTATAGGACTATGAATTCAATATCAAATGACTGTCGTCGTATAATCTTTCTCATCGAAATAGCTTTTTTGTCGCGTTTAATAGCACGCGATTTATTCTCTATTATTTTCTTATCGCCGAGTGTCTAGTCACGGTCGGTATAATTTAATCTTTACTCCTTCACGACGAGTTTTCTCAGGATGACGCGCTTATCGGTGGTCCATATTCTACTCTAAAAACAAAAAAAAGAACGACTCTTAAAGTCGAGAAGAGAAACGTTACTTTTCTTTGGGAAATCACCTCTCCACTCTCGGCCCAGAAAACCGAAAAGAGATACTTCTCCGAAGTCACATGAGAATTGGGGAACGCGGACCGCCCGCGAAGTAGCGAACATTGGGAATCGGGCATCGGCACAGATCGATAACCCGACGGGATAAGGAGAAGAGGGCGAGGTTAATGTTGGATAATTCGACCGGGACAGATTGTTCCGGAATCCCATGGGTCCGGCGCCGCCGGCAGATAATTTCGTAGAGACACTTCGATAGGACTGTCTCTACTTTTGACAAATGGCTTTGGAGAGCTCGAACGTCTTATAGTCGGCGTTTCTCATTCACGATGACGCACCGACGCGGTGACTGATGATCCCGCGTGTGCACGTCACTTCACGGCTGCTATATTATCCGGTTAGAACGCGAAGCGCGATTTCCAATTACCTGGATACTTCGCCGTTTTTCAATGTGCGCGCGCGCGCGCGACGTGCATTGAATGTCGCTGTAAATTTTCAGATTATTCTTCAACTGTCGTTGTCACAATTAATTATCTAACGCATCTTGATATATTACATATCGCGTTACACATATCGTATTATTCGCGCGCGTCCAAAGTTATATTATCAAACGAAACAGTGTCGCGTATTTTATTATTATAAAAATATATTTTCTTTTTCGCACAAACTTTTTCCCGCGATGCGCGATATATTTCGTCATTATTTTTGCGGGCGTTAAACGTTGACAAATAGCGCGGAAAAACAAAATTGTATACCGGACGCCGCCATTCAGTAGAAACACGTAAAACTTTTAATCAGAGAGAGAGATGCCGTGTCAGTTTCACGAGCGATTGGCGCGGATATAATCAGGCGAATAAATTCGGAATGGATCGGTAAACGAATACGTTCCCGTATAATCGCGAACGTGTGTATACATATATATATATATATATATATATGTATGTATACATATACATACCCGGCGACCGACATCGGCATGACATCTTTCCACGCCAGAATACACAGAGCGGTATAACCGTTCCGACACAATGTCGCCGCGGTGAAAAACGAATCTTCCTACCACAGCCATAGCGAGGGGAAGGAGAGAACTGCCTCCGCCTCGTACACACAGTGCTATCCGTGTTTTCGATGCAATCCTATTCATCATTTTTCTTCCCTACTCTCCCAGCATACACACACGTGTCTTTCTCTCTCTTTCGCGCAACTCTGTCCTTCTCTCTCTCTCTCTCTTTTTCTCTTTCGCTCTTCTCTTTGAGAACGGTGAACGACGCCGGAAATTCTGCAGCCGTCTTACCCTCCCGTACGTCACGTACCAAAGGAAGCGTTTTGGTGCCTACGGTGCAGCTCCGTTACGGTGACGACGAAGAGAAGAAGCGAAGAGGGCAAGCGTCGGGTTGGAACAAGATATCCGGAAATGCCGGGAACCTATCAGGACTTTTATGCCATCCAACTAGCACGCCCGGGTGCTATCGCTCGAGCTTCTTCCGTTTCTATTTGCGAGAGAGCAAACTGCCGAGAGAGCGACTTCTCTCTCTCTCTCTCTCTCTTTCTCTCTCTCTCTCGAATCGATAATGCCGGGGTTGTGCCTCTGTCACCAGATAGCTATATACTTCCGGCCGCGTTAGCACAACCATAAACTGGGGAAGCGTCGCGCGGCATTATCTCGATCCGGTTCATTAACATAGCCGACTCCGCGCCGAATGGACTCGCCGAATACCTGGAGTCCGAACTTACGTTCTCGTTTTATGCGCGATAAATTGCGCCGAAGCGAGCGGCTCCCGATCGGAAGCGACTCGGTAGACGTTGTAATCTCGGAGCTCGCCTTAAAACTACCAGCGCGATTTCCAGGTGAGAGAGAAGGAATATTCCTCCTTTTTTCGTCTCTCGACCGTCGCACGGTGAGAGAGCCGACGTTGCGTCGGATGGGCGAGACTATCCAAAACAACGCGGAGTAAAATCACTTTATCTCGTTGCTTTCGCCGTATGATTAACTGCGCGTGCTGCTGGCGAAATACACAATGAAAAAAAAAATAAAATAAAATATATTATTTCTTCTTTCCTCTCGAATAAAAAGAATAAAAGATCGAATTAAATTATTGAAATGTTGTTGGATCGGTGGGTTTTTTTTTCGGCGTATTCGTCTTTATTCACGTCATCTAACGCAGTGTTGCATTTTCTACCGTTACAGGCAAAACAATATTGCACAAATATTTTTTTAATAAATTCCATCCACTAAATTGAATTACTAAATTACCGAATTGAATTAGTTAAATTATTTAATACTTCACAAAATCCTTGTTCTTCATATTTTGTTCGCGACCGGCCATTTCGCGAGACCGTTCTCACGCTTATCGAATCGCCCCGTTACAAAAGTGCAACTAACGGGGGGCTGGAAACCGGTGATCTTTGGACATTTACATGGTCCACTTTTCGCTCGTGCAGCACGACGCGCCTCATATTCTCGCGGCGTATCTCGGGTTCTCTTCTACCCGCGGCTCTTTTGTAATGCGAGCCGCTCTCTCGAAACTTGCGAGAGAGAGAGAGAGAGAGAGAGAACGTCACGAGGAGGATTTAATTTTCATTTGGTCGAGGGAGCAAGTTTAGCCGAGCGCGCTCGCGGCGATTATATATTAGAACTTCTGATCGCGATGTTAACAGAATGTATAATCTATATATAGCCAGCGCGCGCGCGCGCGCCAGCGCTTTAGTCGTGTATCACGTATGAAATATCGGTTGTTGGTTATTGTTGCGTTATAAAATATATCGTATAAGCGCTACATACGCGAATATCGTTCGCGCAATCGCTCGAGGCGTCTTATTTTAAGATTAGGATGGTATTACTATATCCACACGACAAGAGGAGAGAAGAGCGATACTGCCCACGTACATTCATTTATATCGTACTTCACATCGTGCATCGTACGCTGAATGTAAACACACGCAACATCTGCTGTACCAATTAAAATAAATTGATCACTGAGAAATTTTATTATTGTTTTTTTTCTCTTTAACATAAATTTCAACGGTTCTTCTTGGCGTCCCACATTAGACGCCAAGACGGTTGCTGCGATACTTACCTTCACCTCGCCGTTTCTTCCTGCCGATGACTCGTCCCAGGGATTCTCCTTACATAGAAATTCTCAGCGTTGGCCGGATAAGATCCGGTTGTCGTGTCTCACACTCCTGAAGAGGAGTAGTTAGTTATACCAGGGACTCGGGATACGTGGAAGGAAAACAACAACACAATACACTTTTCGTTATAAAATGAGTTTATATTCTCTGGTACCATATATGCTATGTACAACGTGTTGTGTTACGGTACTGACATATACGACGTTCGGCGAGAAAGATATGTCTTGATAATGTAGATAGGGAAAAAAAAAAAAAAAAAAAAAACGAAGAAGAGTGGGAATTAATTAGAAACACGCACGCATTACGTTTAACGTCAGCGGAGTGATTCGTTAAATTACATAGCAGTTTCAGTGCGTGGCCGGTATGACGGGTGTATTATTAAAACGGTAGTTGTTCGGTACGCCGGTCTCGGTGGAAGAAGACGCGGGGAGGACGCGGAGAGAAAAATAGGCGTGATAGGGTTATATACGAGTATTCTTGAAGGGCAATATACGTTTAACGTAAAAAATAAATAAGCGATTATGCTCTCTGGTGGTGCGCGGTGTGTGTGTAACATATATAAGAAAGATGCTCGCGATCGTCGGGTAAGTTCTGTACGTGACGTATGTATTCGCGATGAAAATGGTTTAATTTGTGTGGCTAGGGAATAGAGGCGGGGGAGAGACAGGCAAATAGACTCTCGGCCTGGCAGGGTCGAAAGGAGGAGGACGGAGGAGGAGTTGCGGAGACGAGGCCCGGAGAGATGAGACGAGCAAAGTGCGGAAAAGAAGACGTACAGGACGCGCGCGAGCGCGCGCGCGCGCACGGAGAAGAGAAAAGCAGAAATACACGCTTGTCATGGTACAGAACAGACTCGAGCTTCTCGAGCTTACGACGGAGCAAGACGCGCACCTCAGGCTCGAGGACAAGCACCGACATCTCTACAAACTCGCGGATACTCTTGCTAAGAAGTACGGGGGTATAAACATAACCCTCATTAAGATGAACGATAGAGGAGGGAGGTTGAGAGGGGAGGTGAGGCGGAGAGGAAGCGAGGAGAGGAAAAAAGAGGAGAGGAGTGAGAGAAAAGAGAGAGGAGGGGGAGGAAAAAAAAAAGAAGAAGCGAGTGGTACTTGTAACGCAACGAAACGACGACGCTGGCCGCGTTGAATTGCGCCCGCGGCTACCCAAGTCGGGCGCGTTCGGGATTGCAGGCACGTTTGATATCATCGAGAGCGATCGTCCTCGAGCCCAATATTATCTTTCCTCTCGCAATTGCCCGCCGCGACCTCGGCTCCGCGAGCGGAGTGCGAGACACGGCCGGACGCGTTAAAAACTTAATTTTAATTACGTTATTATTATAACATATATATATATATATATATGAAACATGTTGATGAAACACATAATTGCTCCTGTTTGCTTCCATCGTATACACTTTTAAGATGTAAAAAAAAAGGCAATCAATTAATTAATTAATTAATGATAATTCTCTTATTAATGATAATTCTTCACTTCGGCAGTTTCCATTGAGTTGAATCAAACGTCACGGCGAAATCGGGTGCGATCAAAGCTCTCGCAACCGCGTTTTTCGCCGCCGCGCCTTCGGTTCGATCAAGTCGATGAAAAGTGCTCGCGCTTTATCGCTATCGCGTTATTCGTAATGCTTCTTGTTTACAAAGTGGTGCGAGAAAATCTTGCTCATCTTCCCCTTGTGAAAGAAAAATAATGACTTGGGACATTCCGTCTATCTCGGAATGTCTCCCCGGATATCCTCCCCCTCCCGCACTTGACGGCGACGAAAAAGAATCTCGATCCTTCTGCGTTTTTTTTTTCTCGGTTTTTAATCTCTCGGTCGGAGATCGCGCGCGACGAAACAGGCGAAGAACTGGCAAAATTTTTCTCGCGCCACTCCATACGTTTGCTCGATACAATTATATTGCAATTGTTTTGAACAAAAAATTACGTCGCTAAAGCGTTGCGCGGAGCGACCGCGCGTGCGCGCATGCGGGTCTGCGCCTCTTGTTTTCTCCGCGGAATTCATCCGCGAGATTAATCATCGCGCAACTGGCCGCGCTCGCGCGCGCAACACCGTCTTAAATGTGTGCGAACGTGCGCGTTCGTACAAGTATCAACGTCGAACAGTGTATTAAAAAAAAATTGGCTCTACCCTCTCACCACAAGCAGATTGGATAATAAACTACCGCAGCGTTATTAGCGCAAACATTCTTAAACATAAATTCATAAATTGAAGTGTGTGTTATCTTTCAAAGGAGAAGAAGAGAGTGTAAAAAAAACTCTGACGGAACACACCTCGCAAGTTCATCATGCGTCGTCGTAGCTTACTGTTAGGCACCTTCGTGTTGGCGTGTGTTTTCATTATCGTTATTATGTATATATGTATATTATTTATATACTCTCGTAATTTTATATTTATAGCATTTATCTGTAGACTTAATATACGTATACGTCTACAATCAGAAGCGGATTGCGAGCGTGCGAGCGGCGGTGAGGCGGGAAGGAAGTTCCGTGCCAGAGACGCGCTCGAACACACATCGGAGGCGCGTTACTCGGCGTAATGCGAAAATAATTAAACCGCGCTCTTCGGAAATACACCGCGGGAAAGAGAAATGCGAGAATCTCTCGCGTGTTTTCTGCATTTCAATTTTTCGCGCGTGTTCCGCGCGGAATCAATGGCGCTTGATTTAAGAGGCGAAAAATTCCATTTGGAATTCGACGCTCTGGCGGCGGTTTCGCGCGCGGGTCAAAGGTCTACAGCAAATATCCAACGGGGCAATTAGAGCCAATAATCAAAGCGCGCACCGGGAATGTCGATGGACGGGGACACATACGCGCTCGCTCTGCCCGCCGTTGCGCTCTGTATATCGTTTTTCGTTCGATTTTTGGCTATTGTTGTTGCGTTAGCGGTCGCCGTACGCGTTTGCAGTGAGTTTTACTCGCGCATAGCCGGTGGATATGAAATATTTATGGACGCGCGACTCTACCGTCTTTCTTTCGCAGCTGTTATCGGCGCGAACGGCCTTTCCGATCTCGCATTAATCTCTCGCCGCAAAATTATAAGATAAAAGTTTATGATCACTGTCTGTGTTTGATCAGCGGGCACGCGCGATATTCTGCTTACGAAGCGCGGTGTCGACATTCCGCTTGCGCGCGTGATAAAATCCGGAATCCGGGTGTATCAACGAATCTTCGCCACGCGATAGGTAAACGTCAAACAGCAGAACAATCCCCAAGTTCTCGGTTAACTGTAACGCAAACACTTCAGAACGATTGTGGAGGCTCTCATTTTGTCTTTCCCGTTCGCCCCCCGTGTTTGTCTTAACGAGTGTATTTTAATCCTCAAGTTCCTCAATTAATCCGATCTCGCTGTGGTCTCTCTGCTTCCCGGTGTGCTTTCGGCGAAATCGATAAGACACCGCTGGCACGGCGAAGCGATTTGTGTTTCCACAGCGCATATATCACACACGCTCCGTCGAGACAAATTGAATAGAATATATTCTATCATTTATTTATAAATTAAAGCTCTTTGTTTTGTTTTCTTTCTCCGCCCGTTTTCTCGACTCGCCGAATAACTTGGCAAATGTACTTTATTTCCGGCAAAAAAAAAAAAAAAAAGAAAAAAAGAACAGAGATATTTTATCACGCGACGCGACCGTTGCAAATCCGAGTTCTCTCTGCGTTTGACGTTATCGACGTGGGAGGTTTTGTTCCTTTAAGATTTTTCTTTAGAAAGATATCCCCGCAGTCAAGACGGACTTTCCGTCGGTTGATCGATCGAACGCGATATTCTATTACGCAACCGCCGTGAAGAAAGAAGTTACCGGCGCGCCGAGGAACTGATCGATTCCTGAACGGCGCCCTTCAATTCGAGCACGCCAATCCTGATAAGCTCACGTGTCGCGATGTAAATTAACCTGGCCGCCACGGGATAGCTAAGGGACAGGGCTGAGGTTAAGTCGGAGGGGATGCGGGAGAGGTTACGTGGTGGTACTCTTGGTACGGGGGGGAGAGATGGCTATCCTTGATGTGATCCCGGCGCTCCGGCTCCTTCCCTCACGCTCCCGAGGCTCCCAGACTCAATCCCATCAAGCAGCGCTACCCCCGCAAGCTTAGCTTAACCCCGAGACGCCACAAGAGGCAATTAACCTTCCGCCAACCCCTTTGCGCGCGTGTACCTTATACGTTTCCCTCCTCACCGAGCCCGCAAGCTGCTTCGGTCCTTCGGTTTCTAGTTCCGTCTCTTGGATCCCTTTTCTCTCTTTTGTCCCCTCGTGCAAATCCCGACTGGCTCGTCGCGCCGCTGATATCGCACTCAAATACATCTGCATAATCACGCCCAATTCCCGATGCTAATTAGAACCCGGTAGCCTGTGCGATGCGGCGAGCATCACACATCAACAACCCCTGTCATCTCCGCGCTGAGCCACAGCGACGTGTTTCACGTCGCGTCACGTCATCTCGGGTATGTGTAGGGACGCGGTAAAAGCACGCGCGATAGTTTTTAGTTCAAAGGCAAAGAGGAGGGAAGAGGGAGAACGGGGTCTCTCTCTCTCTCTCTGGATGATAACGCGCGCAAGAAACCAAACTTGCGAAATCGACCGCGAAGAAATTTTCGCGCCGTTGCACATTATGCCACGCGCGGTCGCTTACCGCCGATGGAAGATGTGTAACCAGAACTGTTTTTTTTTACGGAATAAAGTAAAAAATTTGATTTACCTTATATGTTACATATATCCGTCTCCCCCGGCGAAGTGCATTGCATTCCCGGTGTGCGAGCGCGTTTACGATACGAATTAACCACCGACGCGAGATGATTTCTTTTTTTATTTTTTTATTATCCTTTCAAGAAAACGTCCCCTTAGACGCGGCTTCGACTTTCGCTCGGGAACAACGGGGACGATACGCACACACGCACGAAGGCCGCTTGGACACACCGAACGTCACGTTAATTAAAGGTTGCCGGTACGGGGGGGAAATCGTAATTGCAGCCTTGCTTCTCTCCTTCCAAATAACCGACCGACCGGAGAGACAGAGTGAGACGAGATTGATGATACATTTGGTACGATTCGTTGCGCCGACCTTGGGTGCCGATTGGGAAACACTGATATTTGTGCCCGAGTTGAACGACAGACGCAGCGGCGAAAGCAATCAAGCGCAATTGTGCCTAATTATTCTCTTCAGTAATCCACCGGCATTATTAGCACGTGTGCATACGCGAACGCGCGTAATTGCGACCCCCGCGCTCCCCCCCCCCCTCTCCCCCGAGAAAGCGCACGCGCGCAAAAGCAACATCGCTTAAGTTGATATCGCGAGATCGATTGGTTTCTTTCGCGCGCTCTGCCCAGCTGCGAGGAAATGAAGTTAGGAATGAAAAAGCAAAGGGAAGGGAAGGGAAAGGTGATACGTATGTAATAGTACGGTGAGACGTGGATGCAACAAGAACATTCGTACGCGGGATGGGCGGCAATCATTTTCTTGTTTCCGATCAGAGGGAGAAACGATCGTCTCTCCGCTTCTCTTGAAGCGAGAGCGCGATCTGCCCATCTAAGCGAATCTAATTGGAATTAGTAGAGCGCCTCTCTCTCTCACTCTCTCACTCTCGGCAAAGCTTCCGCCCGAATTACAAGGTAAGCGCCGGGCGGCAAAGGGCATACTTCACTAAAAGCTACGTTATATTGGCTGTTGCCTCGCAACGCGGCTACGCTCGCGGTACAAGTTTGATATATAGCGCGCGTAGCGGAACGCCCGTCCCGAATTCCGCAGGAAGATTCCAAGAGAGAGCCGTGAAAATTGTCTGCTGCGGATCGCTTCGCGGAAATTGGTGGCGCGACCCACCGCTCCTCCGGAGGGGGCGAGCCGGGTGTCTGTGTGTGTGTGTGTGTGTGTGTGCGGTTTAGAAGAAACAAACAACTCGCGTCTGTATGAAAGTCAGCCGTGAAATGATAATTCGTAATAATAGCGATTTATACGTAGGAAGACGAGATTGACGATGATATCGCGAAATCAAAAAATGGGGAAAGAGGCGCGGGTGTGTGGATCGTCGTTCAGAAGCGACGTGAGTATCCGGCGTCGTACAACTTACAGAGACTGTCGGTGCGCCCGGGATGCATCCCGGGTACGGACACAGAGACCGAGAGCGCTTCTTGGTGCTTCAACATTTGCCGGCGTCGCTGCCAGGTGAAGGCCCACGCGGCGATCACGGCGATCTGGGCGATGAGGAAGACGGTGCCGGCGACGATGGCCTCGCCCAGATTGATGCACATGCTCATCGTCGACGATATGTCCTCGCTCTCGACGTACACGGTGTCTCTCGTTGCCGAGCTGGCGTTGGGCAGCAGCTTGCCGTCGCGTTCGAAACCGAATTTGTCCGTGATCTGAATGGACTGCACCAGAAGAAGATCCTCGCGGCTCTGAGAGTTGGTTGAGCGACGGCGACGACGACGTCGGCCGAAGGAGATAACCGAGCGCAGCTCGCCGGTCGCTTCCTGCTGATCGCACTGCACCGGCTCGCAGGTCGGCATGCACGGAGTAACCAGGGCGCGGAACTGCACCACTTCCGAGCTCGGGAACTTGAACGCGTCAAAGTGCGACAGCAGTATCTGCGTAACGGAAACAAAGAAAAATACATTTTTTTTTAAGTGGGATTTTTTTGTCTCTCTCCATAAGTGTGGAAAATTCATTATTATAATTAAGTAACGAAGCGTCGCGCGAGTTTTGCGCTTCCGATTTTTGGCACGTCGCGCAAATATATATTTTGGAAGAGTCGGGGGGGGGGAAGGGGGGAGGGAGAATTCGATATGTGTGGAATGTGATAAAACCGACTTCCTCGCGCTCCCATCGGTCCCTTTCGACGCGGATTGCAAGTCACGTAAGCAATTGTTTCACGCCGTTACTTGTCGTCCGGATAAATACATAAACACCTGTGCCGAATGGCTTCTCTCGGCGACTATTTCACCGTTCAGGGGGGAGGGGGGGCGGGGAAAAGGAGAGAGGTACTGTCTCTTGTGTCCGTGTTCGCGCATACCGTTAAGCGAAAAGTGCAGCACCAATATTATGACATTCGCGCCGCCTTCTCGTCGTCGCTTCTCTTTCGCCCGTGGCGCGCTTTATAATCCCGGTAGAGAAGCGCGGCGTGTATACAATTTCCGCGCTTTTTTTTTTTTTTTTTCATCGCGCTCAAGAAACGAATTAAAGTGCCATCAAGCGCCGATGTTAACTGAAAAAGGTGTTTCTCCGCGCGCGCGCTTCGGGACGTTACGAAACGTCAGATTCATTCCCTTGGCTGTTTCTGTGTTTGTTTTTTTTCTCTCTTTTCCCTCTCAACCGCAGGTTGCACACGAACTGCTACCCAACGCAATATAACAAATGTAATCAGCGCGGGGTAGCCGCGAAACGCGCATCGGGCGCGCGCGCGCGCGCGTGTTTCATCGGTTTTTATTTCGCGAACTCACGTAATTCACGTGCAATGTCGTGTATGCCCGTCGACTCAACTAAGCTATGTCGCATTAATTTTGAAATTCCGACACGGGCGGTCGTTCGCTCGCAGTGCAATCCCCCGCAGCGTGGACGCGGAATAATGCTAATCTTATCCATATGTCGCTTCTACATAAATTTTCGACTTTCGTGTTTCCGAAATCGGAAAGAGGAAAACGCGCGCGAAAGACAAAGAGAGAAAGAGAGATAGATAGATAGATAGATAGATAGAGAGAAAAAGAGCGCGACGTGATTTTTACGCGCGAGGCGATTTTACGACGAGGCGTCGCGGACAGGAAAAACCGGGGTAGCTTTCTCGCAGAAGAGGGATTGCACAGAATGCGGATGTCAGGGAGATCGCATAACGCGGCGGGTGTGTCCGTCCGTCCGTGCGCGCGTCGCACGCAATATGCGTAAGAGATGATCGCCTCGAAACTGGTTTTTCGCGTCTCAGCAGCCGCTCGTACGTATAAGACGATTTTTTTTTTTTTTTTTTGCTCTTTATTAGGTAAGGCCATATAACGGCAATTACACGGGATTATGACATGAAAAACAGCATCAAGTAGCCGCTTTTACGCGCGCCATTAAGAGCGAGCCCGTACCTATCCTCGGCGAATGGCGCGTCGTCCAAGCGCGTCGCGCTTGTAATTCCTATTTTCTCGTGACAGCGGACCTATCCGTTAAAATCTTTTTTTTTTTTTTATTCCGTACGCGCGAGTTGCTATCGCGTGCACTTACGCATCGTGTACCTACGGAGAGTATAGGTTCTTCTTCTCATCGACACGTCGATGCCGCAGCGATCGGAATTGGTATGAAGAAGTCTCTTTCTCTTTCTTTCTTTCTTTCTTTCTTTCTCTATCTCTCTCTCTCTCTTGACGATATTCTGCAAAACGAGCGTACGATAATCACTTGTGTCCGCTCGTTAGAAGCTTGTCGTTCGCGGAATGAGTTTGCGATGATCGCTTCACCGAGAGAAACGCCGGACGCGCATGATGTATTCGCGCGCGGTGCGTGCAACGCGTCATTGATTCCTCTTCATTCGGATTATTTGCAAGAGGGGTCGCGCGGGGTTAAAGCCTCGAAGTTCGCCTCGGTTCGTTCCCGATCCCCATCGGCACGAAATCGAGGGAGAGAGTGTGCGAGGGAAGATACTCCATCGCACCATCTCGGGGTTAGCGCCACGCTGGCGTCGCGCGCGCGCGCGCGTCTGGAAAACTGGTTTCTACGGCGCATTACCGAGTTCATCGTATTTACACACCGAGCACGTATATTATCGGCGGGAAGTAAGACATTAAAATATGCTTCGTTCCACGTACAGCTTCATTTAAGGCCGTTTCTTTGGCCGCGCGTCCGAGTGCGGAACGAGCGGAACTTTATTAACCCGACGTCATCTCGCGGCAGAAAGAGTAGCGGAAGATCCGCGGGGGAAAAGCGAGAGAGCGCGGACGCGCGATGACGATAGAAGAAGAAGAAGAAGACGATGAAGAAGAAGAAGAAGGAGAGGAAGAAGAAGAAGAACGTAAAGCGGGTCGTGTGTAGAAGAACGAACGACGAGGAAAGTCTCCGGACGTTCGCTCGAGAGAGTGCTGCTCGGGAGCGCGCGAGGAGAGGATGAAGAAGAAGCACGTATAAAACCCCCGGTCGTAGCCGGCGAAAGAAGCGTTCGCTGTATCCGCGGCATCTGGTGGTATCCGACGCGCCCGACGATAAGTCTCCTTCAGCGAGGGAACGACGTCGGCGATAGGGGAAACACGACTATATATAGGGAAAAGGGGGCGGGGGAGGGAGTGGCGGCCCGTCATAAATGTACCGCGGCAGATCAGTCAGATCGTAAGACTCGCGCGCCCCGCGCGCTTTTACGGCGCGCGGGCTCAACGTGAATCCCCCTTCTGTCTGCTTTATAAGTCGGCCGCGGGGTTCTCACTATCCCCCTGTAGATATACGCGTACGTATGTGTATTTGCCTAGTTCTCCCTGGCTCGTACACACGGAGCTTTTTGTGCGCGCACACAGACTCGCGTGGCGCTTGAGAAATGTTTCCAATTTCATTCAAACCGGTTACGAAATGGAAGAGAACCCCCCCCCCCCCCGGTCTCTGGTTACGTGACGAACATACGCTCAGAATGCCGCCCTCTCTCTCTCTCTCTCTCTCTCCCCCCTCCCTCTTCGTTCAGCTTTTTGGCAAATTTCTGGTTTAGATGAGACGGCGATGTGTGTTGCAATCCCGTCATCGTCGTTCACTCTCTTCCGACCGAGAGACAAGTCGCGGGATTATAAGGAAATCAATCGCGCGTATGTACATATACTCGCGTTCGCTCGTTTATTTTTCGCGATTGCCATTTGCTTTTGATACATATATCCGGTGTATAAAACGATACGAACGGTACGTGAATGAAACAGAAATATATACACTCGGTATATATCTAGAAACGTATATATACACATACACACACGTGCGCGAGATTATTTAGAAATTTATCCGTTTGAATTTTTTTTTTTTTTTTATAGAAAACAGGAAACGCGCCCGCGTATCTCTTCGGATCTTGTATTTCATATAAAATTGAAATTAACGCTCCATCTCTCTTTTTTTGGTTTCTGACTATCTTTTAATAGCCCGTTCGAACATTTTTTCACAGCGCGTTAATGCGTTTTCCCGGAATGCAACTATTACGATATCGACGATTAGAGTGATTCATTACCTTAACGGTAATTGGAGGATCGTAAAATATTTTTATCAGCTTTGCAAGAGAGATAGATAAAGAGAGAGAGAAAGGTAAAACATAAACCGCCTTATAATATTCCCGGCAATAATTAATTATTAGTCGTTTATTAACTCTCGCGGTCGAGAAAGGAAAGAGCGCCTCCTCCCCTCAAAGCGCCTTCGCCTTTATTGAGAAAGACAAAGAATCAACAAGTAACTTCCTGCTATCGGTACGTCCATCGGAGGAGAAGGTCGCTGAACGACGACCCCTCGTTTACCGGGAATCAATGTTGCGCCTGGCGTTTATTACCATATCGTAATGGCCGGTATATACTGTCGCAAACGACGGAGATTATTGATAGCTGATAGCGCGGCGTATATATCAGAGTCGTTGTCGGGCGTTTTATCACTCACGGCCGGGTCGACAGGCAAATGGAGGCGCGTACAATTACGACGATGTAATTGCCTCAACAGTGTTTACGCGTTCATCCCCTCTTCCACGCGGATTCGAGCACGCCCCCTCCCCCCTCCGTTCTTTACGTTCGATCAGACGAGGAAGAAACCGAATACGGAGAGAAGAAGCTTCTTCTCTTTTATTATCTCTCGCGTACGCGCTCGACGAAAATTCACCGATGGCGGATCCATCCGCATCGAATCGGCAGCAACGTCGATGTTACCCGAGATCTCTCTATCTTCTCGCATCTCTCGCGCGCGCACGGCAGGAAATGGGGTTAGTCCTCGTGAGATCGGAGCCGCGGTCAGGAAACGAGATCAAGCGGCATGGGGGCGCGCACGTTCTAAACCGGAAAAGAGGCGCCCACGACGAGCTTGATACCGGAACCCGGGATTGGCTCGGGATGCGCGCCACGGGGTGATATATCTTGATGCTCGGCGTCTTTTATATACACGTACGTATGTACGTATATTCCGTATATAAATTTAAACTCTTTGTGTTTCGAGACCACGACTGTTATTACTTTCTAATAAAGCGATATTGCGCCGAGGTTGGCGCGGCCGTAGTTGGCAAATGACGTGGAACAACCAGTTAACGAGGCAACGGGCGCTGCTCCTCCGTCCACCTTCGCCGCTCGCCTTTTCTCTACCTGCCACCGATAACGATACGTGTTTGTTTTACTCGTCGTCGACGTGCGTTATCGCTCCATCTCGCTCGAAATACGTTTTTTTTCGCGTCTCGAAGTCGCGAAGTTTGAAGAGAGATGAGATCGTCCGTTTTCTTCCGCGATCTTGCTCGCGCAAGATCGACGATGCGAGACGAGAGAAAAGTTTCGCGCGACGCGTTTATATATCGACGGATCTTCCGTTGAATTGAAATCGGAAAATAATAGATTTTTTACAGATTCCTTTTAATAATCAGCCGTAATCGCGTTTCTCGTTTGTGTGTGTGTGTGGCGTTTGTTCGGCCGACGAGTTTATATCGCGCGCGAAGTCATCGCGCGAAATGTACGAGCGGTGTATGTGTAATTGGTCTATCGAGGTCGTACGTGTGGCGATCGCCTACCTTATTAACCGCTTGAGAATTATTGTACTTCCGCTCTAATGCGTTTTAGCTCCACGGCCGGAGCTCACCCACGATACTCCAGCCGCTCAACCTTCTCCTCTCGTCCGGGCGCGAGGGAGGGATTAAACCCATTTTTTTCTTCGCGATCTAATGGGATCGCGAAGTCAATTCCCGCTTTACCTTATGCGGGAAACGCGGAAGTAATAATCGCGCCTCTCTCTCTCTCTCTCTCTCTCTCTCTCTCTCTCTCTCTCTCTCTCTCTCTGCGCGGAGCCCCGTCCGTTTTCAACGCACAACCGTGGTGGTGTTCCATTATTTAATGATCCATCTTCGTGTATTTGAAGGGAACATCTGTTCTCAATCATATCCGCGCGTCATCCGCGCGAAGGCCTACCTCCGTCTTTCCTTTTTCGCGCGTCTTCGCGCGTAACAAATGCGCTCGACTGCGCTAAACGCGCGCTGTTATTCAACAGCTATCGACCGCGGTGTGTGTGTGTGTGTGCGCGCGCGCGCGTTCATCGCGAATTATATTAATGAAAATATAAGTGCGGTGTTAGAGAAAATAAATAAATAAAAAAAATAAAATAAAATAAAATAAATAAAATCTCCGAGAGTCTCGCGCGCAAACTCGACGTGACAGGTGCGCGAATGACGAGATCGAGCGAATCCGATCGCGAGCGCGAATATATATTAACCCCGCGCGCCGACTCTATCGCGCAATCCTACGCTCTTCTCTCCCTTATGTATGGAACACGCGAGAGGTAATGATCGCCGCGCCAGACCGATGTGCCCGCGTGCCAGGCATGTCACGGCACGTCATCGCCCGAGACGGCGGGCGCATCATCGACGCGACCTATTACAGGGCCCCGGCAAATTGCCTCCCGTCGTAAAATCCGTCTCTGGGTGATTGATTAGCATGAAGTCAGATCGACCGCGATGTTGACTCGCGCGCCCGCTTCCATCTCGCCGCGTTTTTCCATCCTCGTCCCGGCGTTTTACACCCGCCGTTGCGTAAGAATATCTCGTTCCCAACATACACGCGCGCGATCATGATCGACAAGAAGCGTCGACGTTATCGGCACGTCAATCATCTCTCGCGCTCCGTCGCCGTCGGGTGTCGCGCGCGCGCGCGCGATATCTCCCCAGTCTTCTCTCTTCTTTCCCTCCCCCGAAATTAGAATTCAATATTTATCTGTTCCTCGGGGTGTCGTATCCCTCGGGGCAACCACGCGCGCAATCGTACGATACCGTACCTGTCCGCGCGGTGCGCTACAAAATGACGGTTTTTGCCGCGGACAGCTCGTTCCCTTTATTGCTCTCCTTCGCGCGCTGGCACTCTCGCCCGCTTACGGGGCCGCGGCGTGGCGAGATGATCGAGCACCAAGACGTTCTTGTTAGAACGACGCCAAGAGGGACATTTCAGTGCGAGTTGCCAACTACATTCACTTCTCTGGAAATAGTTTTCCATTGCTGGCAGCGAAGTTAATCTAAGAAAGCTAGACGGCCGGTGTAATCAGCCGCGAGGAAGTGGCTTTTGTTTGTTCCGCTCCGCTCGGCGGATCATCAACAAGAAACACATATATATATGCAGTATTTGTTTCGCGGAGAATCATACTAATATATGCAACAACCGAGAGAGAGATACTCACCTTGCCGGTCGTGACCGATTTGTAGAGCGGTCCCATGATGACGTGATCGGTGGGGCAGCCGTCGGAGTCGATCAGAATGATCTCACTCGAGTCCACGCCGTCCATGGCGACGAGCTCGCGAACAAAAATCTCGTACGGGCTGTTCGGGTCGAGGATCTCGAATTTGAGCGCGAGCGGATCGCCGACTTCGGCGGACGGTACGATCTCGTTTCCGCTGCGATCGGTGATTTTCATGGCGACGTTCGGCGAGTCGACGATCACCTCCTCCGAAAGAGCGGGCGTGATGTCGCCGTGCACACCGAGATCGACCTCGTTCGACACGGTCTTGTTGGTGAGATCGTACTGGCAAGTGACCGCAAGTCCCAGATCGGAACTGGTGACGATGGTGTCGTGATGCTGGATCACCACGTCGTTCAGATAACGGCCGAGACCCTGCTGTCTGATGTTGCACTCGAGATCGTCGTAAGCCATGCGGAGCTCGAACTCGAGCGCGCCCTTGACGTCCTGCACGCACGAGTTTGGCGAGCCCTTGGCGTAAACCTTGCCGTAGAAGAGCTTGCTCGTCTGAATTCTGGTGACCATGTCGCCGGCGCGGCAGTCGATGGTCACGTTGTAGCACGAGCTGAGCTCGAACGTGGACGCCTCCGGTACGTCGAGATATGGTTCCTGGAAATTATCGTTTGTTTTCGGGCCGTTACTCACTCGCATGGTTTGCTAGCTCGAGAGAGTTCGACGTGTACCGCGGGCGTTAATGCGATTTGCCAGGCGGTATTAATTCAAAGGAATTATAGCGCGGCCGCCGCCGGGGCGTAGCGGTGATAAATTCCAAAATACGCGGAGCACGGAATGTTTCGCAATTAAACTTCGCGAAGCTAGCCCGAGCCGATGCGATTTATTGATCGCTCTTTTATTTTGTTCGCTTCACGTGGTCGGGAGATTTTGATAGCTTGCATCGGGCTTACACAAAAACTCTCCCGGAGAATTTATGACAAAAATCGAACAGCGAGCGCGAGAAGAGTGCATCGAAATTCCACCGCAAACGTACTATATTGATCTTCAGTGATATAGTTCGCGCGCGCGTTGGGCAATTAATATGTTACGGTATTCGACGAGCGCGGCCGGTATAGAATACATATATATAGACGAGCCGAGTGTAGAATCCGCAAATTACAACAGAGAAAACAGTTCGGCGAAACTTTGTTCCGCAATTTTTAGGATATCAAAATTTCCGATAAAATTTTCCGTGTTACGTTGAACGTGGTTTCACATTTCTACTTGCGATATTACACGCTGTGATAATAATCTATTTATACAAGTGGCTGAGCGCTTGCGCTTTCTCTCTCTCTCTCTTTATTTTCAACATCGCGTTTATCCGATGACGATACGCATCAAAAACCAATAATTATCAATCGAATGATACACACGCGTTTTCATTTGTGTGCCGAGTATAATGATAATCCGCTCTGATTCACGCGCTTGTCACTTTCAAAGAATTTATTTGAAATCCCTTTATGCGAATGCGCTATTTATCGCTCCTCGTTTTCAATGGTCCTTTTCGGCGCAACAAATTAATCGCAAATATTACGCCGATAAATACTCTTGACGTTTCGCGTGTTATCTCCACAGTTAATAATTTTGTATATTTGTGGAAATGCCAGATGCGAACGCGTTATATAACTGCGAAGCCCGTAGCGGCCAGTCGCGATCGCCTCACGCACACAATTATCCCATTATATGCGTTATTTGCTCATCCCGCGAGTGAATAATCGTTCACGAAACCCGCGCGAGCGGTCGGTAAACTATCCGTAAACTATAATTCGCGAGACGATAAACCTTCGTTCCATTTGACGCTGCTCTTAATGTAAAATATCTCTCGTTGCAACAACCGTCTGAAAATTCGTTTAATCCGGGTGCTCGCGCGTTAGAATTCCACAGCGGGAAAAGCACACGGATAATCGAATACCCGATGAATTGGCGCGGTCGCTAAATCTTTCTTTTGATTTTCTCCCGGATGCGATTCACATCCGGACCGTGTGCGACGTCCGGGAGGGGAAAAAGCGTCTGCGACAGGAAACTCGATTTTCCGCGAATGCGCCTCTCGGCGGATTGTTCGACCTGCTTTGCATTTGCGCGACGTAATCGCGTTTATAGAAAATCCCCCATTGGCCCTTTCGGAGTATCCGTTCGATCTGCAACGCGACAAGCGGGAGAGAAACATATGCGCGATCCGTCGTGCACAACGGAATTCTATTTCCGACATTCCCGATTAATGAAATCACACGGCGCTCAGCCAGTACACGTCAAAACGCGTCGATATCTACCTATTTTACCACCATTTCTGTCGATTACTTCAAATCGCGATTTTGCCTATATTGTCAAAATATTTATCTGTATATTCATCAAAGTTTCGTGCGTATTTATTAACACAGCGTCGAACATCTGTCGCTTTTAAAAGATATACGATTGAGGCGACCAATTGTGTAGGAGCCGAAAAAATTTAGAATTTTCATATACACTGAGAAAAAAATACTATTAACTCAACTAAATGCGTTTAGTTGAGTTTCAGTTTGTTATCTGAAATACTTGGTTTTTTAATTCAAGCATATGGTAATAAAGATAACGTAATAAATTCGTATAAGTTGAATTAACAATAGTGGTAATGAACATATTTAATTCACTAAGCCATGAATTGTTTTGTCGAACATAAGTTGTGATAATTTCAAATAAAAGATACTGTTAAAAAAGATGAAATAGGCAATTCTCATTTACTTTAATTGAATATAATCTGAATTTCTTTGTACGAAGTATTTCATTTAATCAAACTGCTTATTTTTATAAGCAGACAAAATATTGTGTTGTCCTATTGTGTTGTACATTCAAAGTTACCTGTATTTAAGCAAATTATAATTTTGTTAAAACAACTAAATTGTCTTTCGGTATAATCTAATTATTATATCTATTGAAACATGATATCTTTTTACATTTATCAATATTTCATTGACAGCTCGTGACCGCTGCATATAGTTGAATCGAATACTATTTTGTTTTTTACTTCACCAACTTTTTTTTCTCAGTATATGTATTATAAATTTCTGTGACTGTATGAATTTAAAACCGTTATTACTTCACACAATTTGTATGTTTGCGAGACTCGAGGTGACGAGTGTTTTCAGTTCTCACCTCTGAAATATTTTGTGGACGTCTCAACAAAGTAAATTCAAAGGGATCAAAAGACAGAGTCGATGAAAAAAGCGTAAAGCTGATAAGCGTACAAAGAAGGTCCGAATCCGCCGATGAGAATAAAAACGCCCGAAAGATTACGCGCTCCGAAACGATCACCAATTGTATATTGTTTAATTACATTTATTCACTATTAAACCTTTAATATTTTATATAACCACCCGAGTCGAAATTTAGCGTCTACATTGAACCTCAATTCCTCTTTTTTTATGTAGGAGTAAGAGAGAAAGTAGATCCTACTTTGACGCTGCTGTACGTCCGAAATTTCCTTTTTTCCTGCTAAAGTTTTAAAGTAGGGTTCAATTCTCAGATCAGGCTGCGCATTGCAGGCTCTGATAGGCTCAAGATAGGCTCTGATAGACTCAAAGTAGGAGTAAGAAAAAAAGTAGATGCTACTTTGACGCTGCTATACGTCCGAAATTTCCTTTTTTCCTGCTAAAGTTTTAAAGTAGGGTTCAATTCTCAGATCAGACTGCGCGTTGCAGGCTCTGATAGGCTCAAAGTGGGAGTAAGAAAAAAGTAGATGCCACTTTGACGCTGCTATACGTCCGAAATTTCCTTTTTTCAAAAATTGAGGTTCAATGTAGACGCTAAGTTTCGAGTGATTCTATTTATTTAAATAATGAACTAATCATTAAATTTTATCTCACCTGGATGTCGGAGAGGGTGGCACGGGAATGATGGCTGAGACGGCAGACCATGTCGCCGGTGTCGCCGTAATCGTACGAGTGGCAACGGAACGGCGAGTTCAGACATAGTTCGCGACACTCGTCGGATGTACCGACGTCCTGATAGACAGAGTCCACGGTCTTCAGTATGCGGCCGGCCAGTTTCTTGAACTCGCAAAGTTTCACCGGCTCCTCCACGCAGTGATTCTCGAGATAATCGACGCCTTTCGCCGTCTGGAAAGCGTTCGAGCCAGCGACCGTCAATCTATCCATATCCGAAAGTTCGCACTGCTTGGTCGCATTAATGTAATTAGCGGATCTGAAATGCAAAACGAAAATTTTTTCATGAGAAATTTGCCGCACCGCAAATCACGCGCGTAGAATTCGCAACGCTTTCTTATCCAAACGATCCCGCGCCTCATCAGCGACGGAGACGCGATATAAATCACGGACGATAAATTATTATCGTCCGCGCGCGATAAATACTCGATGCATAATGCAAAACAACGATAATGCCCCGACGCGCGTAACGACGTCGCACGCAATTTTAATCGCTCGTTATTATCGCGAAAATAATCTGCGGTTATCTGTTTTTTTTTTATCTTGTGTTTTTACATGTGTGTATATTCACGTGTTAAAACCCAATTTACAAATGTGCGAACTGTCCGTTCTATGAATATGATAATATTGGCCGTCGTGCTTCTCCGCATGTGTCGCCTCTGGCCAGAAGAACAAATATACGAGCGTTCAGAGGTTAATAGCAAAATAGGGAAGTGCAATCCGTTTCAGCCGTCGTGTTTCACGGCATCTTCCTCCCGCGAGTAAAAACACACGATGGCGGAGGAGGAGGAGAAGGAAGAGGGGGCGCACGTGCTGCGCCGGTTGTCCCACGTGCGCGCAGCCGTTGTTTTCCTCCCCCTCATCCCGTTTTAATCTCGGGGAGGTAAGAAAACACACCCACGCGCGAAAGCCTGACGCACTGTGTCGTGTTACGTTTTCAAAGTGGCTATACGGAGACGCGACACGAAGAAGACCCGTCCGGCCGGAATAATTACTTTCCGCCGTGCTTTACCGCACCGCAATAACGCGTGGTTAATGATACCAAACGTTAAGAGCTTCAAGCAATAGGGAACAATTAAGAAAACGTTAATTTACGTTTAAGCAAAGTGCCCGCGCGCACAATCGGCTCGATGCGTTTCTGCATCTCTCTTCTTCCACGTTCGACCGCGTGCGTGTGTAACATACGGTTCGTTACGTTCGCGTAATATAACGTTTCCAACGTTTGCCAACGGAGTTTTATCCCTAACCACGCTAAACCGTGTTGACGCACGATCTCTGAATGAGCGAGGACTTCGACAGAGACACCGTTCCGGCGATTCTCATAAAGTGGAATAATCATCGACATCTGGATGATGGAGTGACATTTACATTAACGTTTCGAAAACGCAATCCGAACGGATGAACGGTGTAATGACGTGATTCAGTGGCACTTGAATTTGCGAAATTTCTATTTCATCAATTCGCATGAATAGTTACAATGGGTCCGTCACTTTATTGTATTAATTTACTTCAGGTCGCGGCCGGAGCAAAAGATATCGAGTATTTCGAAAACGCGAAAAATTACAATTTTCGCGATTCTTTCGCGAGGCTAATATAGAGATTTTTTTTTTTTTTATTATTATTATTATTATCACTTTCGCGAATCCGCGCGGAGAGTTTCGACTCTTCGGCAATGACGGAAGAGATGATTCCGAAACGGTAAAATTATATAATATCGCTGGTGTTCAAAAATATTTATCTCCGCGTTGCATACGTGCGATACACGCCGATAACAGACGCACTGTAATATATATATATATGTATATATATTGTCACGTAAATATTTGTATTTCGGTTTTGCGCAAATCGATAGGAAATAATAGTATTTTTTTTCCGGACGTGCGCACGTGCACGCGCAAGAGAGCCCAGAACACAGAATGTGTCATTATATATTTTTTTTTGCCAACTTTTTTTCCTCCTCCGTATATTGATCGCGATATTTTTCGCGATAATTTAAATCGTAATATAGTAACGAATCATTTCATATGAACAGAGATTTACGATTGAAGAGAGAGATCTCGTCTACAATTTGGTTTCGTAGATTGACGCGAATTATTTATAAAATACTGGTCGGTTTGCGTGACGTGGGGAGACGAGGGAGAACTAAAACCTGAATTTTATAACATTATAGCATCGTTGCGGTAAACCGAGCTCGCGGTTTAACTGATTCGATCGGAACAAGACAACGAGCTCCGGCCGCGAGCTTTTTCAAACGATCCGTCGAATCGCCGCGAATATTATTCATAATCTGTTATCCCGAACCGGTAATTTTCGCCGTAACCAAGAGAGATGAGAAGTTATCTCGTGTCCATTGAAAAGACACACGCGATTGCAATTCTTCTGTCGCGACCGCAACTTCCTTCGCTCGCTTTACCTCCGCCGTGCGATGTGTGCGCGCGCGCGCAAAACGCACGTTACCCGACATACGTGCGCGAACGCATTTTCGAGCCGGGGAATCCGGGAAAATTGCGGCTTTGCTCTTTTGTATCTCGAGATCTCGTGTCGTTTTCATTTTTCCAGCCTCTATAATCCGAGATCAAGTATTCTTCGCGCTTCGAACATTTCTCCGCTCCGGATAATCCGAAATATTTTTTGACCAAAAAACATTGAGAGATTATCACTGTTCTTTTTTCTCCGCGCGGAAAAGAGCGCGGAAAACTTAAACGGGGGATGAAAAAGCAGTCGAGAGAAATTCTCTTCCCGCGTGTGTTCAGGTGAACGACCGGTGGCGTCATCATCGAGCCGTGAGCTTGTTCTTCCCGTGAATCGGCGTGGGAAGGGTGTAGCAACACACCCGCCCGGAGGGTGTCGAGGAGTGAGAGAGAGAGAGAGAGAGAGCGAGAGAGAAGCTCGCCAAATTTATTCCACGTCGCTCCATCGATTTCGGATTATATTGCCTTAAGACCTGAATAATATTCATGGGCGCCACGTTATGATTTCAATATTCCCGGAGAGAGCTTCGCGCCGGGACGGAAAGAGCGAGACGAGAAAGTCGAAAAATCATCGTGGCTCTTATGCGGTCGAGTGCGATAAGCTCACGGAGGGGGATATAATCGAATCGCTAACGGGCAGCCCTAGTCCCGATCAACGGGATGTGTGTGTGCGGTGGTACTTACTCCGCGACCCTCATTTTCGCAAAATCGACTCGTCGCGTCGAGCAGAGGATCGCGAGCTGTACGCGATACGCGCGTTATATAAAAAAAACAAAAAAAACAAAAAAAAAAGCGACGAGGCAAGATGAATGGGTCGCGAAAAACGCGTCCACGGCTTTGTTTCGCGGCGCTGATACGTCAAATACATATGTGGATGTGAATGTTTGCTCGTTAAATCAACAAGTTTCGCTCCGATTGTTCGCGGCTCAAATACATTAATTGTCCGATGGCGCGCGCGCGCGCGCATCTCCCCGCGCGTTCCTCTCGTTTTTCGCGCCCTCGGTGCGCACAACGCGTCGTTTGTTATTCATTTTATATGCAAATTCGGACAATCGCTTTTATCGCAAATTATTTTTAATCCCCTTTCCCTTCACTGATTATACCGTAGGGCGTTGATTATGTCGTCCGTGTGCGACCGGCTGATGAAAATGTGAAATCGCGCGTTGTCGGAAAAACTCATGACGTCTCTCATTATCGCCCGCACGCGCATAAAAACCATTAAGAAAGCAGGCTCTCCTCGAAACGATCTCGTTGCGAATGCAACGTAAAAAAAAAAAAAAAAAGAAAGAAAAACAGAAGCTTCGCGCTATGCTAACGTACGAGTCGAGTACGAGAGTTGAAAATATACCGGATATTATAAAAACCACATTGAAATCGTAGCTAACGAGTCGTCGTAAGTTGCGACAAACTCGCGGTGTCGCTAACGATGATGAAGTGCGCCAATCACTCTTGCAAAACTAGACGCTCGAGTTGTACACCGCGCGCGAGTTTTTGTTTTTGTTTTTTTTTTGTTTTTTTTTTTTTTTTTTACGCAGTCGCTCGCGATTCAGTACACTTTATCACGCGTTATTAATTACAGAGAGGTTACCGGTAACCCGCGCGCGGGCGGAAAAAATTATGATTATCCATTCAATCGTTTCTGACGTAAAAATAATTGTGATAAAGCACCAAGAATTTTTATGAGAATTTTTACATCGCGTTGCGCACAATGAACATGTCGTAACGCAAAACGTTTTTATCCGCCGCGTGAACAGGCCTGACAGTGTAACAATCACGTTTGCACGCGTTAATTTATGAGTCGCGAAGATTTATTACAAACGGGTTCGCGAATATGAATAATGTGCGGAGCGGAAAGTGCGGAGGAAATTACATATTCACAAACCCGATTTGCTTCTTTCCTCAAACAACTCGTAAATTAAGGAAAGACGAGAGAGAGAGAGAGAGAGAGAGAGAGAGAGAGAGAGAGAGATGAAAGCGAGCCTGGAGGGCGCGCTCTTGTGAAAATTTGCTCGCGCGCGAGCTATCTCGGTTCGCCGCGCATCAAATCGCCGCAAGTTTACGGCAGGTGCTTTTTTTTTAAGGGGATACGGTTACGCTTTCGGAAGCGCGACCAAAAGAGAGGAAAAAAACCCACTCTCCCGTTTTCGTAAAACATCTTGTTCGCCGTATATCGTCAAGCTAACTTCTCGGGTGGCATTATCGTCGAAAGCCCTTTACTTAGAGAGAAACTCGGCGAGATACGGCTACTAAAGGCCGAGGTCCTCCTCGCCCAAGTTTAGTTCGGACGGGCGATTCGGTATCTCCCGCGGTAAATAATTAATGGACACAAAAGGCTGGGAGGCGCCGTAAACACAGCGTGTGCGCGTCCGAGCAGCGGTCGCATCCACTGTGTTCCCCCCCCCCCCCCCAACTCTCGAAGTTGACTTTCTCCCAAGCAAGAAAGTAATTGAATGTAATAATTTATTGAATCTCGCCACTTTGGAATGTTAATAATTTATTACCGCATCGTCGTCCATTAAAACGAAGAATCGTATCATTTAGTTCAATTTACAAAAGAGATTCTTTTCTGTCTGTTCGTTTTCTTCAAACTTTTTTACGAATGGAATAATCGATTCGACAGTTTTTGCCGAGCGGAAGGTCTCTCTGCCAGGATAGAAGAATTTAAGATCCCGGATCTTACCGTGTCTCTTCTTGACTCGACGACGCTCGTCCCGTACAACTTAAAGTAAACCTCAAGGGAAATTTTATCCTCCCAAGCAGATGTTAAATGCGAAGTTAACTGCGACAG